TTAAGGGCGGTCTTGAACTACCGGTCGAATACACTCATAGGGTCTACACCCGGTAGTTCACCTTCCACCAGGGATAGCTGATCGACAGCCATATATACTGTCGTAATAGAACCGACAGCCGTAGAAACGTGCGCTGGCCTAACAATGATCCAGAACTGGTGAGTGCCAGAATGCGCGAGTGAAACAAAAACTGCGCGATAATTCGTGCCCTCTGGTCTAGTACTGCCTATCAGCAGCAATCGAGAGTACGTTATAAGCGTATAGCGCAATCTCGGAAACAGGTACAAGATGACATAGTTAAATTATCACAAATTAACATATTCAGACAAGGCTGAACGTTAGTCGCTTAGGCTGTCCTAGGTAAAATGCTGTTCTTTTGTACCGTTGTTATTGATTAAAGGGCATAACTGAAATACAATAGGATGCGGTAGTAACCACTACTAGGTAAGGAACATAGACCTTAATGAAGTGGATTTCGATATACCATTTGTCTGTCTATTTCCGCCTCAGTGTAATGACGTGCATGAGTCATTCTCATCGACAAAACTTGTGTACATTAAGTATACGGGTAACTACACTTTGCAAATACCAGGTATACCAAGTATAATGAGACATGTAACTCGGCCATTGCCGGTTCTAAGCCGGGTTCAGAAAAAAGGAGGTTGGGAGACCAAAGCAAAGTCTGCGTAAAGTTTCGCCACCTGCCAGTCATGGAATTAACTGTATCCAAAGCTATACCGGCTGGGTCATTGTCCGGGTTACTAAGGGCCGCGAAGGCTTTTGGAGGACTTAGCCTGTTTGTCGAAATCGGCGATCTGAACATGCTCATCACCCTCTGCCAGCCAGAGGGCGTACAAGATGACAACGGTTGACGAAGTTCGATGGAACGACGATGAACATATCAATCAGCTACGAGTCGCTACCTGTTAAAACGTTGGGCGAACAAGGCATGTGCTGTCTAACAGGTGTCTGTCAAACTGCAATGACTACCACCAGGGGGCAGAAAATCGCGGGGGGGGGTGTTGTAGCCGCATTCAACGAGGGAGACCAATGGGATTGCTCCAATTATCGTGGCATTGCGTTAATGAGGTTCTCAGGAAAAGTGGACGCAAAGGTGGTAGGAATGAAGTGCCTTGGAATAACTGAGTCCAAAATACAGTGAAGCGTGGCTTGAGGCCTGATCGAAGCACCTCTGACGATATATTTGCCCTGCGCCAGATTGTTGAGATGTCGTGGGAGTTCGCCAATCCGGTGGACATGTGTGGACCTAGAAAAAGCTTGTGACCGGATCCCACGCAACAGTCTGTGCTCATGCCTGCGAGCATACATAATAGATGAACAGTTGCTAAGGGCTATCCAGTCAGTGTATTCTGATAGAAGGTGCTGCGTCAGAATTAATGACGTTGGGTGGAAACGTTTCAAAGCTGGCACTGGTATCCGTAGAGGCTGCGTCCTGTCCCCTATTCTGTTTGTGTTGTACAGGGATAGAACAGTCAGGAGCAGTGAAGGCAATAAGTTTATCGATGTAGGAGACGTAAAGGAGAGAAGTCTGTTGTATGCAGACGAGCTTGTTTTATTAGCATCTTCTGAAACTGATCTCCAGTGCCCCATAGAAAGGTTCGCAGCCGAGTGCGACTTCATCGGCATGCGTGTGAACGCATCTAAAACGAAAAGCCTAGTGCTTTCTCGTTCTCCTGCCCGTTGCTCTCTTCAGATTAACCGAGAAAGTGGAGCAGGTCGAGAAGTTCAAGTATCTTGGAACTGTATTTACATGTGAGGGAAAATTAGAGGAAGAAATCGACCGTCAAATTGGAGTATCCAGTGGCGTTCTCCGTGAACTAGCCCGACCCATTGTGACTAAGGCAGAGCTCAGTTTGAAGGCTAATGGCTCAGTGTTAAAGTCGATTTTCTTTCCCGTGCTTATCTACGGTCACGAGTCGTGAACCATCACTGAAAAACTTCGAACAGGATGCAAGCTGCTGAAACGGGCTTTTTTAGACGTCGCTGGCCCTTGACGTATCGACACAGTCCGGGAGAGCCTTCGTGTACAGCCTCTGCTTCTCCAAATTGAGAAGCCACCGCTGCGAAGGTTCGGGCATGTGTTGCGAATGCGTACAGAAAGGAAGGCTAAACAACCGCTTGTTGGGTAACCGACAGGCAGAAGGCCCATGGGGACGGCCAAAATTAACCTGCTACAAATATACGGTAGGAGTCTGTTTCAAACTGCCGATGCTCAGGTTCTTGTACAAGATCGAGATCGTTGGATTCATTGCTAGATGTGTGCTTCCGCGAGATTAATGGAGAAGCGGTCACGGAAAATGAAGATGAAGAAGGTGCATTGTGGCAGTTTTATAAAGTTGCTTTAGGCATATGACTGATTGTTCATGCTAGTGGTCTTCAAAGGATTTATATCGATTAGCGATGAGCTGCACGATTGCGTTACATTTCAAATAACATTTAACTGAACCCATAAGAACCATATCGATTGCAAACCTGTAGTGAGAAACTCCAGCGTATTAGCTGACGTTGTCCTTCCTTCTCGCCACGGCACCTTCAGCCCACGTCACCAGTGCATTTGAGCAACATGGGGATGAGTTCTACAAGGGCATCGACCAGAATACAGAGATTACGATCCGAAGCCGCTATTAGAATCTGCAGATCAGTTGATTTAGTGCCCAAGGCATGGATCATATTGTCTAAATCTAAGGCGTTTTTAATTAACGGTTCAGGTGAATTATATTTTAGAAATGAAGTGTAATTTTTAAAAGCACAGTTTAATGAAGGAAACAAAAGTTATGAAAAGTTGACATCAGTCATCGTTGGTCTGTTTCA